AAACAGAGGTACCTGCCAAAAATGAACGAAAACCGATGCAAAACGAATGCTCAGGGGCCAAAACGCGCAGTTCGAGGCCTCGAAAACTGCCTGTTAAACACCAAAAGTGGTATTCGACCACGAAATGGGTCTCTCAGACCTCAGTGTCCCTCAAAAGGGAGCAAATAAGATGTATGCTAAAAACCGAAACAAATGGAGGTGGTTTGGTGGTCCCGAACCGAGGCACATGGCCTGACGGCTCCGAAAATCGGGAACCGGGCTCCGAATTGGGCAAAATGGCCTACAGCCACAAAATGTAGCCCACGGCCACTGAGAGATGGTCTACGGGACCTCTCCCTCCCCTCAGGAAAAGAAACAGAGAAAATTGAGTCTGGTTCGCCAACCGAGGCAAGGCACAAAAGAGGGTTCGGAAATCCGGAGGCAAGGCTCACGGCCGCGACTCTGAGACTTCTAAACGAGCATAATATGTAGTATCACCGGCAAGGCTCACGGCCGCGACTCTGAGACTTCTAAACGAGCATAATATGTAGTATCACCGAGCGCTCAACTGGTGACGTCTAAGTCTTAACGTCGGTCAAAAATGGGATGTCTACAATGTTTAATAAGGAATGTATTCATATTAGTTGTTTGGCCAGGTTCTGAGCCATGTTTATGAATTGATTTGGATAAGGTGGAACGTAACATGGACATATTGTCATGTAACTGTATTGTGATATAACTGGTTTATGAATGTTAGCCATCTATCAAATGCTATTATTTTAGTCATTTCTTATAGTTGGTTTAGTATATTTCTACTGGGCTGTGGCTCACCCTATATGGGAACATCATTTTCTGGTCCGGGAGATATGCTACCTCTGAGGACTTAGCTTGGAAGGTTCTAAGGATTGAAGACTTTTTTTATGGTTTTGTTATTTTGATATTACATGTAAATTCAAGCCAAGGGCTTAATATGTATTTGAGTTAGTACTCACTTCTTTGTATCCAAGTATTGGCTTGGAAAGTTGTAAGCCAGTAGGGCGTTTACTTTTGTGGACAACATGTAATATCTTTTGTTAGAATACTCTGATGAATGGAAGGATGTTTATTTTTCTTATATCAATGCATGTTAATAATGTTGGGTTTTATCTATTATTTTTTAGGGCGTGACATAGAGCATCTTGCCTTTTTTTCTATTAGTATGGTTGTCAAAAGGTATCGACCAAGCCAAAACTTGAGTTTGATTGTAGGGGCACACATTAGGATGTCAACAACATATAAAGGCTTTTGTTTCTTTCTTAAGAAACTAATAAAAAAAATATATTATGTGGCGACTCTAAGATCTGATGACACAGTCCATTTCTGGCAAAGGTTTTTTCAATAAAATGAATTTCTAGAAAGTTGTCAAATCTGGACTCTCATCTATGCTTCACATTGCATTCATGAGACTATATCGAAAAAAATCAAGGGTCTGAACTATTTAACGCACACGGGTAACCCCTGGGTGTCATTACATCGGCAACAAAGAGAGATAAGGTTTGATTAAAGCCATTATTGGAGAGGTTGGGGTTGAGGAAACCGGAGATGAGAGAGAGCTCTAGAGGAATGGGCTGATTTAGTGGTGAAAAGATGGCGCATTGATGGAGGTGGTAGTTAGAGTCGACAAATCAGATATAAAGAAGATGAAGAAACGGTAGATCAAAGAGGTGGTGTTGAAGATGAAGATGATGGTGGTGATGAACCCAAATACAGATCTGCTGCGACAATGGAGGTGATGATAGTGGTTTGTGCGGCAACAAATGTGGTTGTAAGGAAGTCGGATAAAAAGATGATGATGATGGTTAGGGATTTAAGGAAAACCAATAAAACTAAGCATGCTGATCGAAATCGATCGAAATTTTAATTTTCGGTCTGTTTTTCATAACATAAGGTCTGTTTTGGTTTTAAAACTTTTTATACCGATACAAACCGAACCGACCGAATATTATATTTAAATATTTTTATATTATAATTTCTGAAACATTATATGAGAAGTAACTAATATAATACACTTTTGTGATTAAAATTATGGAGAAAAACATTTATAGAGCAATTTTCATATATTTTCTTTATTTATTTTCAATGTAAAATTTTATAATCTACTATAAAACCTTTTAAAATTTTATGTAAATTTCTCTTCTAAATCAAACCGACAAAACCGATAAAATTGAATCGAAGCACACGGTATGTATCGATTTCTCAATCATAAAAATCAAAAGGATCAGTTCGGTGCTAAATATACACTTAACATCGACCGAACTAAACTGTTTACACCCCCAATGATGGTGGTAGTGAGAAGACAATAATGGTGGTGGTGTTGAAGATGATAATGATGGTGGTGGTGATGCATCCAAAATTCAACTCGGTTAGAGAGAGGGGAGAGGAGACTGAGTGAGAGAGAGAGAGAGAGAGTCATAGGAGTGAGAGAGAGATAGAGAGAGAGAGAGAGAAGTGGGTTTATGATAAAGAATTTTATATTTGTAACAAATATCGTGTAGAATGTAAGGGATAGGTTTGTCATTTGACAGAAACATGTCCTTTGTGACACTCCAAATACTAGTTAATTTTAACGCCAGGAAAAAAAATGGTAATAACAATAATAACATATAAAAACTTCATAGTTATACCTGCTACGACATCTAATTTGGCATTGGTTTATCAAAAGTGTGACTAATATATTGTTTGGGGCTAACTCAAAACAACTGTGGTTAAATCAAAAAAACTATGAAATTTTCACTATAGTTAGGGCCAAGAAAGAATATAAGGAGATGCATGTATGTTGGTTAGAAGCTTGCAGGATTGGCACTTGAGAAGGCTAACCTATAGGGGAGATGAATCATCCATTAGGTGTAATTATTAAGGGGGTGACTCTTCACCATTATCTCAGGTATAAAAAGGAGGTGCTTGAGAAGCCAATGAACCAAGGGAAATAAAATAAAAAAGAGAGAGAGAGAGAAGGGGGAAATCAGTAGAAGAGGGAGCAAGGAAAGGGGCATCAAAAAGCCAAAGAAAATGGGAAAGAATAGTAAGAATCAATATTAAGGTGAGTTATATTATACCTTGAGTAGCCATAAATTATTTTACTATTTTATAAATTATTTTATTCAAATCATGTTTTTTTAATTATGTTATTCATTTTATGAGCCATGATTATTTAAAATTTAAACCCATGGATATGATTGTTTAAATTTTGGAATTAATTTGACAATGAGTGTATAACCATTTATTTTTATAAGTACCACCACAGAGGTCCCATGCCTTGGGGGACTTAAATAACCATTGACCCTCTGAATTGTCACTTTAGTGACCCTCTAACGATCTCATGCCTTGGGGGATTTAAATAACCATTGGCCTTCTGAATTGTCACTTTGACGATCCCATGCCTTGTGGGACTTAAATAACCATTGGCCCTCTGATTAGTCACTTTGTAACCCTCTGTCTGTCATGGATCCGTTAACTCTCTATTCTGTTCTGTACCGTGGTTATGATAGTTTTGCATATACGATTTTTGTATTCTATGTCTGTTATTTAAAATAATTTATTCGAACCAAACTATTCATTATTTAGCCTAAATAAATATTCATGGTGATTTATATACCCTTATGCTTTTAGTATAATATTCATCACTCTACCATGTGCTTATAGCTATTAAAAGCTTATCAGGTGAAGAAACTTAAGGAAGAATGGTTTTACCCCATTAATCAGGACCCAGACTTGAGATGAACATTGTGTTTTCTTTTTTTTCTTCTTTTTTTTTTCTTTCGGGTTTATTTGTAATTATTATCTAACTTATGTTACATAAATAATAATTTCCATGTACACTTCAGATATTTATCTACATCTTTTATTTCATCTCGCCGCATTATTTAATTCAGTTACTTCGAACTAATTATAGAAATTTTAGAATTTAGCTAGTTGAATCCAACACTAGGCACCAGGGTGGGTCATGACAAAAGTGGTACTAGAGAAATGGTTTTAAAAATAAAAATAAAAAAACCATTGAGGTAGAAGATATGCGTACTATTAGAAAATAGGATAACAAAAATTTTACCTTAGACATTATAGCTGAGTTAGGCATCCTGTGGTGTAGGCAATGTCGGAACTCAATTTTGGTGACTCTTTTTGGTACGGGCTTGATCCATCGAAGTTTGAGAGAATTTTTGAAAATATCAGTTATGTCCTAAACCTGCAAGAAGGAATGGGAGACTCTGAGGAAATAGTTAGACATGCGGACCCGACCCTGAACTGACTGATGGGCAGACTAGTGTACCTACAGGCAGTCCCCACAGAAGTAGATACACAATGGTGGAGGATTGATGGTATGAGTACACTAAATAGGTTTCTGGGACTGACATTGGTAGTAGGCATGGCCTCAAGCCAAGAGTACCCTTGCTACTTAGTGGCACCCTTACCTCCAAAATTAGTGGCTCGAAGAGGAAACGCCTTCTTAAGAGACCATATACATGCAAGAGTCCCTCCTCCACAAAAACTTATTGACACCCAAACGGTTGATTTTAGTGATAGTATGGCATATATGGAAGTGCTAGTACGTATCACGAGATGCCAGCTGTGGGGTTACGCAATAGACATTCCCATTTACCGAGTGGGGTTGGTGTGGTTATGTTTTGGTATTGAGCTGAGTGGCTAGGAGTTCGAGCACCATATGCAACTGCACTACCCGTGGTTGTTTCCAATTTAAAATCCCAAGAATAAGGTTCTTTCTTTCTTTTGTTATTTTTTTTTTTTCTTTTGATGTACAAGTGAGCTGATCATGACCCAGTTCTAACCCGTTTTGTCATAGAGGGTTAGGCACTAACTTGACGTAACTACAAGTAATGTACCAACACCATTATGCATAAATAAAACCTGTATTTTTGTGTATAATGTTTTGTGAACTATGTTCATAGATTATGTAAAAATAGTTGGTAGATGATAAATTAATAGAAATCATGCACCATGTTTATTAAAATTGTTACTTTATAGCTATGGCTAATGATGGAAATGGTACCGAATCATCATTCAGTGGAGCTGATCCCATGGAAAAAATTATGGAAAGAGTTGTTAGTTTCTTGCAAACTCTGCAGAACAATATAACCAATGGATTACCGGAACATCGTGAAAGGCCAACTACGATTAAACAGTTCCAAGACCTGAAACCTTCCACGTTCACAGGAGACTCGAACCCATTGCTAGCTGAAGCTTGGGTTAAAGAAATGGAAAAGATTTTTCATGCTCTACCCTGTACAGAAGAACAGAAAGTGTCATTCGCCACCTTCACTCTTAAAGAAGATGCGCAAGAATGGTGGTTTCTTACCTTAGAAAAGGAAAAGATCGTAACTTGGGCGAAATTCCTAGAAGTATTCTATGAAAAGTGTTCTCTAGAATCACTACAGGTGCAGAAGGCATCAGAGTTCCTACACTTGAGGCAAGGAACAATGTCGATAGCAGAATACGAAAGTAAGTTCACTTGACTAGCGCAATTTTCACCGTATGCTATTCCAGCAGAAGCCCAAAAAGCTAGGAAATTTGAAGCGGTGTTGGATGTTGAAATCAAAGATAAGGTCCAGGTTTTGAAACTACCAACCTATATAGATGTGGTAGATTGAGCATACATCATTGAGAAGGGAATTAAAATCCCACGTTTAGGTAGAATAGGTCAAAAGAAACAGTTTTGGGAACTAGTCAGAGGATCTAGGTTAACCCACCAAAGAAAATAAATACCGGACCTATTGGCTCAACTGGTTCGGCCAACCAAAGTTCTACTATCCCTATCAAGACCTAAACATGCCCCTATAGGTTCAGCGTCATGACCGGCCAGTAATCATAGATTACCTACAGCCTCCATACAAATAAACCTTTAGAAATAAAATACGGGGCTTAGCGGAAGTCTAAAATGTTATAAAATTCATCCATTGAGCGGTGCATATATGAGGAGAACAAACATGTCAGGCAAGGCTTCGTTTCAAGTTACATCAAACATGAGTACAATTCATGTCTTACAAAAATACAACCCCAACTATGTACAAATACAAAACCATAAATCCACACAAAAGGGGTTTGACAAGTATGGCTCCACACAAGCCTGACTACTTCACTTGGAAGCTCTATAATGGCTGACCCGGGTAAACTCGAGGCTATCTAATTCTGATGCTCCCTTTGCCCACCTATAATTACATATATAAATAAATAATGAGCTAAAGCCCAATGAGTAATAATAGAATAAAGAGGTTAAATGAATGAAGTTCGACAATAGTACAAAAACATGTCTTACAGTTCCGTAATGAATCTTAAATCATTTCAGGGGAGGCATTCGCCATAATAGATCAAATTCACAACAAAACATTTTGATTAGCCATGAAAGCATCTCTTTGTAGTAACAAAAGCCATTAATACTATTATCTTTGGTACATCCATGAAGTGACAATTTCATTCCAATGGTGATGTATCATACTAGCCATGGTATTGTTACCCCCAGGCAAAGGCCTATAGCCATGGTTAGGGCCTATAGCCATGGTATTGTTACCCCCCAGGTAAGGGCCTATTGCCATGGTACTATTATCCCCAGGTAAGGGCCGATAGCCATGGTATTGTTACCTCCAGGAAAGGGCCTATAGCCATGGTATTGTTACCCCCAGGCAAGGGCCTATAGCCATAGTATTGTTACCCCCAGGCAAGGGCCTATAGCCATGGTACTATTACCCCCAGGCAAGGGCCTGTAGCGATGGTATTGTTACCCCCAGACAAGGGCCTATATTCAATGGATGCCACAATATGGTTTCAAAACAGAACTTCATTCATTAAAGGTCATAACATTTCAACAAGCCATGCTATCGATCATCAAATCATTTTAAGAATTCATTCAATCAATCACATATCCATTTTGATAGAAATAACATTTTCGAAAGTAAAGATAATTTGAACATATCTTTATAAGGTTATTACTCACAGTGGTTTGCGGTGACACTTAGCCTCGACGTCCACCTAAACGAAGCACATAACAAAGTACAAATGAAATTCTATTTCATTTTAATTCAATTCTCTTTATGCGTCTCTAACTTATTGTATGATTAACGGAGTCCAAATGGTGCCTAAGAATGCTTGGAGTGGCATGAGGATGCAAATATACACTTAAAAGAGTTCGTAAATTTTTGCTGAAAATAGGGTCTCCGCTCGAGCATGACTTTCATCGCTCGAGCGGGGGTCCAAAAACAAGGGTGGTCGCTCAAGCATAATTCTTGTCGCTTGAGTAGTCTATAAAAGTACTAGATATATGAATTTCCCGCTCGAGGGTTGCTCGAGCGAAACACTGAAAAAAAGAGGTCCTCGCTCGAGCGCCACTTTGGTCGCTCGAGCAGACTGTAAAATTTCAAAAAACTTCTGGGAGCTCGAATTCCATGCTCGAGCATGGACTCCCTCGCTTGAGCAGACAGCACAAATTTTGGAATTTCTAGAACTGTGTTTGAAGTTCAAACTTGATATTCAAAGTCTCAAATCTTGGGTTTTTGGCACAAAAACATGGAGAATCACTGTACAACATGAAAACACTTCCAATTAAGACCATTTATTCAAAATCATGGCAATTCTCAACCATTTATTTCAATTTCAAGTTGTAAAATAATGTTTAATTCAAATTAGATGCATATTGCTTCAAAACATGTTCAAAACATGATCAAGTGGCAGGAAAAGCACGAAAACATGAAGGATTCTCCAAAATAAGGTGTAAATGTGCCATGCATGTAGGATCTTCATGAATTCAAACTCAAATTATGCATGCATGTGTGTAATTCAACTCCAATTCATCCTATTCACAACAACTCATGCTCAACCTTTTCAAATTCAATCTAATGATCCTATATTTCCATGAACTTAGTTTCTACGTGGTTCAATTCTAAGAATTTAGGATGAATCTCATACCTATTGTGTGAATCCAAGTGTGTTGTAGCTCTAACCCTTCAATCTTCCACAATTCTCTACAATCTCTTATTCCTCTCTCTAAGTGTTGAGTTCAACTCTCCTCTCTCTCTCAAATCTCAGCCCAAGAGTGTATAAAATAAGTTCAAAGCTTAAATTGAGCCTTATATAAGATGAGATTAAGTTAGCCTAATTAAATGTGGTTAAGATTAATGAATTAGGCTTAACTCTAACTAATTCAATCAGTTTACTCTAATTATTTTGATCCAAATCAAATTTCAATTGAAGTCACCATAAAATTCTAAATATTCCAATTAGCCTATTGGGCTAGTCAATTTCAGCTTCTGATGTCATCTAAGCTTTCAATTTCCGACTCTAAGTTATCAATTTAAACAGTTATTCCATATATCAATAGATAATTATAGAATTAAGCACATAATCACACAATCAAGCACGTAATCATGCAATTAAACTTATTTAAATTATATAATGTACTAGTTTGCAGGTCAGGGTCATCACAATCCCCAAGGGTAGCACCATTCCGAATTGTCCAAGTTGCAGAAAAACTCATCAGGGACAATGTTATCAGGCAATAGGAGCATGTTATAGATGTGACCAAGTTGGCCATTTGGTGAAAGATTGTCCGAAATTCACCAACTCTGTGATAGGTACCCCTGAACCAGTTCAAAAACTAGGAACGGTCACAAGAATGAGGAAGGAACAAAAGCACCCAAGGAAAGCTTTCGCTTTAGTACCTAGAAACTCCAATGCTGCAAAGAACGTTGTGTCAGGCACGCTCTCTATATGTGATCATTCAGCTCATATTCTCATTGATTTTGAATCCACTCATTCTTGTGTTTCTCCACATTTTACCCCCAAATTGACATCAACACTTGAACCTTTGGGATATGCATTAGCTGTGTCTTTTCCATCTGGTGTTTCCGCACTTAGTACGAAAGTATACAAATCCTATGCCATATCCCTAAAAGATGAAACCTTGTATGTGGATCTGACTCCACTTCGCATTAGTAGGTCCTACATAATCTTAGGGATGGATTGGCTTGCTGCCAACCATGCCTCTATCTACTGTACAACCAAAAAGGTCTTTCTTTGATTACCCGACCAATGCAAACTTGTTTTTGAAGGAACTGGAATTTCTACCCCTCCGTGTTTAATATCCTCCGTGATAGCCCAACGACTTTTGAGAAAAGGTTGTTGTGGTTGTATTTCTTATGTAATCGACCCTCAACAAGTAAACCTAACACTTGATTCAATACCCGTAGTTCAGGAATTTCCTAACATCTTTCCTGAAGACTTACCTAGTACTTTAGTTGATCGAGAAGTCGAATTCACCATTGAAACTCAACCCGGTACACAGTCAATATCAAGAACCCCTTATCACATGTCGATGGTGGAATTGAATGAATTGAAGACCCAACTCTAGGAGCTACTGAACAAAATCTTCATTCGACCTAATACCTCACCCTGCGGAGCTCCAGTACAATTCATTAAAAAAAAAGGATAGGACAATGAGATTGTGTATCGATCATTATAGCGATTCTGGTTTAGACCCGACCCATTTGATGTTTTGGATCTGGGTTTTATTGTTGTATATGGTTGTTCATGTCCTATTTCATCTTACGCTTCATGGAGTTTGGTTATCGTTGTGTTTTGGTTGCATTTGGAACAAGTCGGGAGTTAGTTTTTCAAAATGGTTGTTGCCCAGCTTTTGACTTCTTCACTTGAGCGACACTTCCTGCACTCGAGCGGTCTTTGTGAACTTTCAGTACTTTTGCAGGTCTGCACAGATATTGGAAGTTAGTATTCTTCGCTCGAGATGTCCCTCTTGTGTTTAAGCGATGCTCGCTTGAGCGGTGCTTCTTGTGCTCGAGCGTTGGTCTTCTACCTGCAAAACTTATGAGAGTTTGTAATCTTCGCTCAAGCGACAAACTTCTTCGCTCGAGTGGCCACATCTTTTGTGTCTGGACGGTCAAGTGACACGTCTTGCGCTCGAGCGACCTGCGTGTATATTAGTTCGTAAAGTCACTTTTCTGAGTCACTTTTTCTCCTCTCTCTAAACTTTTCAAATCCTATTTTCTCTCACTATCTCTCTCTAAAACTCATTGATTCCACTCAAATACACCTAGATCCGTCGACCTTTTCACCTCGTGTCCCTTTGTTAAAAAGATAAAGCTCGACGAGGGCTTCGTTCTAATCAGAGCAAAGTTGATTTTTGGTGTCTTTGAGTTCTCTTCACTCTCTCTCTCTCATCTTCTAAAGCTTGAGATAGGGATTCTTTGCACTTTCTATGAGTTTTAACTTAGTTATTTGCTATTTCTAAACAATATTGTGATTTTGGGGATTTTTTAAACAAATCTAGGATTTTGGGTAAAAAATCAAAAGAGGGGTTTTCAAATGGATTCTTGGAAATGGTTTTGAGATTGTAAATGAGGATGAGTATGATAAAATAGTGTGTTTTTATTCTTGGGGTCGATTCATAAAGAGAAAGGGGTTTTATCCTAAATGTCTCAACTGTTGATTTTGTATAAATAATGGAATTGATGTTGAAATTGTGAAATTGGATTGATATTAATAAGGATGGTGGAATTTGATATGTATTATCACTCACATCTTGAAATTCAAAAAGTCTATCTTTATTGATAATTGCTTATCTGTTTTGGGCTATCCGTGGAGGATAGCTATGATTGTTGTAGAAATTGCATCGGAATTCAGAGAATTGAAACTAATTTTCCCATTCATTTGCATCAAGCATTATCTCATGTTTATATATTGGAAATGTTTATCGTTTTGAGAAAAATGGGTGAATCTGGGAAGTAAGTGGTGTCTCATTGAAATAAGTTGGCTTGAGTGTCCATGGTGAAAGTCTTAAAAACCGCGCATATACATGGGTGCCGATCTCATGGACAACATTTCCATGAAATGGAAAAAGTAGTGCTTGTATAGCCTACATTTACATGGTGTCGACTTACGGTTTCCCGCAGATGAAATTTCTGTGAAAGGTTGTATTTGTTTTGAGATTCCTAGAGTGTGATTCACTACCATATTTTCTATTGTAAAGGGATTGATTTATAAGTTATGATATTAACCTAGCATTGCATGGTTTCAGAAAGAGAAATAAAATGATCTGGCTCGAGCATTGCATATGCATTCACCTTATATCTTTGTTAAGATTCATATATTGTGTTGGATTATTTCTACTGGGCTTTAACTCACCCTGTGTAGGAAAAATATTTTCAGGTGCTAATGATATGCCTCCATGTAGACACCCCATTTTTGACCGACCATAAGACTCAGACGTCACCGATTGAGCGCTCGGTGATGATGCATATTGTGCTCATTCTAAGGTTTCAAAGTCTCGGCTGCGAGCCTTGCCTCCGAACTTCGGGGCTCTTTTGTGCTTTGCCTCGATTTGTGAACCATGTCCTATTTTCTCTGTTTTCTCTTCCCGAAAGGATGGAGAGGTCTCGTATACCATCTCTCAGTGGCAGTAGGCTACGTTTTGTGGTCGTAGGCCATTTTTCCCGTTTGGAGACCAGTTTTCGATTTTCGGAGCCATCGGCCGTGCGCCTCAGTTTGGGACCACTTAACTACCTCCGTTTGCTCCGATTTTTGGCACACACCTTGTTTCCTTTCTTTAGAGGGACACTGTGGCCCGAGAGACCACCTTCGTGGTCGCACGCCACTTCCGGTGCCCAACAACCTGTTTTCGGGGCCCCGGGCTGCGCGTTTTGGCCCCCGAACCCTTGTTTTGCATCGGTTAGGGTTCATTTTTGGTATGGACCCTAGTTTCATTGTTAGGAAGGTGGTAGTATGGTGGGAGACCACCTTTTGTTTTTGGAGACCACTTTTCTCTTCGCCGCCCGATTTTCTTGGCAGAAAGGTGGTTTTTCTCTCTCCTAGGTCACATTTTCTGGTCTCCCATACCACCATTGTGTTGTACTCATCTGGGAGGCCACCAATATGGGTAGGCCGACCAGCTTTTCTTCCTGACCCTTTTGAACTTTGCTAGAAAGCTGGTTTTCCTCTCTCCTGGGTCGCATTTTCTGGTCTCCCATACCACCACTGTATTGCATTCACCTGGGAGGCCACCTTTCTAGGTAGGCCGACCAGCTTTTCTTCTTGACCTTTTTGAACCCTGGTCGGCCAACCAGGGCAAGTGGTCGGCCAACCACTTGAACTGGTCGGCCAGCCATCTCCTTTTTGGCCTTCTTGAGTTGCATACAGCTGTGCCAGCTGTGAGGCATTTGCTCCAGGTTTGACCCTTTTGTTTGGCTTCTTAAGGAAGTTTGGCCCTTTTTTCTTAGCTTCCAGAAGAAGCTTGACCCCTTTGGTCTAGCTTCCTCAAGAAGCTTGACCCTTTTGTTTAGCTTCTCTTAGAAGCTTGGCCCCTTTGCTTGAGGCTTCTCCAAGAAGCCTTGGACCTCCTCTTCTATAAAACCAACCCTCCTCTCCACTTGCAAGGGTTGAACATTTTGGTCTCAAGATAGATACACTCTCCCTCTATATCTCTACATCCAAGCTCCATGACTCCATGGTTCTTGGCCATTTACACTACACCTCCAAGCACAACACCTCCACTACCATCCTAAGTACCATGGAGCTGTTTTTCAAAGGTTGAAGGCTCACTTTCTCGGTCCAGAGCTTGCTGCATTGCTGTGCTACAAGGGTAAGTCTTCATTTCCCCCATTTTGACATTGTTTTTCCTCATAGTTTAGCCCTATTTGCAAGAATTTTTAGACTTCGGCATGAACTAAAAAAAGTCTTGTTTTGAGCTTTTCTTCAAGTTTGTTCAAGGTCATTTTTCTTTTTGGGGTCACCTTCCCCCTTGCATGCTTCATTTCCTCATGTTTTGAGCCATGCATTAGAGCATTTTTGATGGCCTTGGTTTGGCCTTTTAGCCACTGAAATCCAGTGGATTTTCAATGGCTAACATGTGTTTTTGAGTCCTAAAATCAGAGAGGGGTGACCCTCTCACCCCTTGTTCTCTTTACTAGCCTTGTTGGCCTTCCAAAGGGGCCCCTATTTGCATGTTTCAAAGCCATATTTCAGGCCCTATTTGGTGAGTTTTAAAGTCTGCATTAGCTCTGTCCGGGGCCCATTTTTCGATATAAAGTGTCTATTATGCATGTGTAGAGCAATCCTATTCAAGGTCTTTCAAAGGGGCTTTCACTTGCATGCTTACTAGACTAATTTCAGGCCATTTTTGATGATTTTTAGGGCCCTCATAACCTATTTCCAGATGTGGTTTTTCCATTTTGCATGTCTATCTTGTATGTGTTGAACAACCCTCTTATTGGCCTCTCAAAGGAGCACCTCATTCTAACATGTTTTGACTGAGTTTCCATGGGTTTTTGGGCATATTTTAGCATAGAATACTTCTATTTTTGGCTGGTTTGGTGAGCTCTCATGTGCTTCATATAGCTGTAGTGTAAATCATGGTTCACTAGCTTACTTTGCATGCTTTGTTGACCCTTGATTTTAACACTTTTTGGCCATGCCTTAAACTGATATTGTGCTTGTTTTGGATTGCCCTAGCTCTGTTTTTAGGTCTCATGGTTGAATGATGTTGGTTTTGCATGCTTGTAGTTCAATACCCATGTTTAACTTTGAGTTTTGAGGTTCATTCCATGCATATACTGAGGTGTGTTCATGTTTTGGGCTCATTATACATCATATTTCAGAGCTTTTTTGAATTCCATATTGCCATGTTTTGTACTCTTCAAATGTGTTTGAGAGTTGGGCTTGAATGCCTTGTTTTCGGACCATTGAATGAGCTCCATTTTCTTGCATGTTGAGCAATCATTTTAGGCCATTTTCCTACTATTTTAGACTTGCCTAGGGTCTATTTAGGGTTGGTTTTGCCACTGGTTCATTGCTTTGTGTACCTCTAGTGTAACGCACTTCACTAGTTTCGGTATTCGGACCATCTAGCTTGCATTGTGTGACATATTTGCATGATTCGAGACCATTGTTTATCATGTTTCAGAGCTGTATCATATGTCATTCTATGCCATACTCCATCCCCTGCCATGCTTAGTTAGAGTTGCATGTTGTGCCTTAGGATCGGTCCTTTGCATCCGTGCATGTTTGCAT